GGCCTCTCATTGTTGTGGCCTCTCCCGTTGCGGGGCACAGGCTCCGGACGCGCAGGCTCAGTGGCCATGGCTCACGGGCCCAGCCGCTCCGCGGCATGTGGGATCTTCCCGGACCGGGGCACGAGCCCGTGTCCCCTGCATTGGCAGGCGGACTCTCAAACCACTGCGCCACCAGGGAAACCCCCAGATGCTATCTTAACGTATTGTCATCTGGTACATCAAAATACTGGCTATAGGTTGGCCAATCAAATTTCAAGCAATGGAAACAGCAAGTTATCCATGTTATGTGTTATGATATAAATATCAAAAAGAAAACCTCTTTGGTTTGTTTTTACTGTTTCAACATTTAATAATCAGCCAGTGAAGATGGTACTGTGGACACAGACTTTCTGGCATATAAATAGCTTCATTAAAAAAAAAATTTTCATTACTTATTACTATTAGTGTCTGACTTATCACTCATACTAGGTTAAAAATGGTGCCAAAAAGATATTTCCTGGATTCACTGATTAGCTTTAACAATAGAATTATTGTTGCCTGTATTTTGATTAGTGGTAGAGCTCTGCATGGATATCCCTTCTTTTTCTTACTAAAGGATTCTGTTTAAAAGCTCTGAAAGGCACATTTGCCACTAAAGACAAATATTTTAAAATGACATCCTGTCACTTGATTATAGTTGTTTCTCATGCATGTCGGTAGACTCTAGCTGACCTGAATATGTACATTTGGAAAATACTATCTTTATTAGCCTCAGCAATAAATTGCATTAAACAAATCTACACTCAGAATTTTAAGAAAAATTAGACTTCAACATATAAAGAAATTGAATCATTTCCTTTTGCCCACAGATAAAAAGGTAAATGTATTTCTCTTTTTATGACTTTAGATCAGTCTAACCTTGCATTAATGTATTATTTGATTAAAAAATTAGATGTATTAAAGCCTACAGTAATAGTGATGTTAAAATCTTTCTCTTTACAACCTATGGACAACTCTCTTCTTTTTTGATATGGTAGAACACCTTTGACATTTTAAAAAATATTTATTTATTTATTTGGCTATGTCGGATCATTAGTTGCGGCATGCAGGATCTTTCATTGTGGTGCACGGGCTCTTCATTACGGTGCATGGGCTTCTCTCTAGTTGTGTCATGCAGGCTCTACAGCACACGGGCTCAGTAGTTGTGGCCTGTGGGCTTAGTTGCCCTGTGGCATGTGGCATCTTAGTTCCCCGACCAGGGATCGAACCCGCATCCCCTGCATTGGAAGGTGGATTCTTAACCACTGGATCACCAGGGAAGTCCCTCCTTTGACATTTTAAATGAGAATCTTCTTATATCTAAGAATTGTCATGGTGGAGTGAATGCCCTTTCCTTTGTGCAGAAATACTACATACAGGTGACCTTAAACAACATGGGTTTGAACTGCAGAGGTCCACTGTACTACACAATCCATGGATCCATGTTTGGTTGAATCCGGAGGAGAGATGGCTATAAATGATACATAGATTTTTAGCTATGCAGAGAGTGGGCCCTCCTAAACCCCACATTGTTCAAGGGTCAGCCATATGTCATTTGGCCGTAGAATTCAGGCTGGGCCCACAAGTAGATGTATTAGGGAAAAGATGGTTTTGATGTTACTGTGTCACAAATATCAATAACATTTTATGTTATTCTAACTTCAGTTCCCTTCCTTTGGGTCTTAAAGGCTTTGGTGCTTCTAGTCAACCATTAAATATACCTATAAGGGATTTATCTTAAGTCATTATCAGCCAAAACTTCTTGGTATCTGAAATCAGACAGGTCTACCTTTTAAACCTGACTCAGCACACATGAGCTGTGTGATCATGGATAAATAAACCCCCTTATGCCTCAGTCTCTCTCTCTTTTTTTTTTTTTTTTTTTGCGGTACGCGGGCCTCGCACTCATTGTTGTGGCCTCTCCCGTTGCGGAGCACAGGCTCCAGACGCGCAGGCTCAGCAGCCATGGCTCACGGGCCCAGCCGCTCCGCGGCATGTGGGATCTTCCCGGACCGGGGCATGAACCCGTGTCCCCTGCAACGGCAGGCGAACTCTCAACCACTGCGCCACCAGGGAAGGCCCTCTCTGTCTTTAAAATGGGAAAATAATACCTCTTTCCTTTGGGAGTTGTCATGATTAATGTAAAAAATGAATATATGGTACTTTACAGAGAGTACCCAGCATTTTGTCACTTTTAAATAAATATTAGCATATAATAATAATCACATCATTATATAACATCTTAAAGTTCTAGACCTTACTCGATTTTAGCAAAACGCTTTTTTGTTATTGATGGAATTGGAACTCAAGAAGACTAAGTATTTACCCAGTAGTACACGTAGGTAAGTAGTCGAGGCAGTTTTTGTTTTTTTTTTTTTTTTTTTTTTTGCGGTACGCGGGCCTCTCACTGCTGCGGCCCCTCCCATTGCGGAGCACAGGCTCTGGAGCGCGCAGGCTCAGCGGCCATGGCTCAGGGGCCCAGCCGCTCCGCGGCATGTGGGATCTTCCCGGACCGGGACATGAACCCGCGTCCCCTGCATCGGCAGGGGGACTCTCAACCACTGCGCCACCAGGGAAGCCCAGATTTAGATCTTTTGATTTCCAATCTCATGTTCCTTTTACCATATGCCAGACAGGAAATAGATGACCACAATCTCCTAAGGAGAACTGGCATTAACATCTGAAAGCAAAATTCCCGGTGACAGAATGAGGGTACAGGCAGGGAGGATGGCTTAAGGTAAAGAAATTTGAACTTGGAAACACAATTCCTGGGTTTTAATTTGGGTTCTCCCACTTACAAGCTGCTGACCATAGTTTTATTATTTAAATGTTGGATCTAATTACACTCATTCTGCATACCTCACAAGTATGGCTGAGGTAGAATCAGAGAGCATACTGCCCTGTCACTCTCGAAAGCATGTTCTCGGTTCCTTCTTGTTAGTTTTTAGAAACCCTATTACAAATATTTCATACAACTATTTGTATTAATTTGTATTAGAGGTGTGCAGTAAGTATTTGTACTTAGAACTCAGTGTTCCAGAATCTTAATACTTAACCAATTTGCAATAAATTTACAAATGCAGAAGAATTCCTACTTCTATAGATCCTAAAATAATGCAGAATAATGCCCAGGCTAAAGGGGAAAGAGAGGTATCAACAGTTTGTATAAATCAATTGTATTTACTTTTTAAACAAACATTTGTTTCTGTTGCCGAATAGTACCTTGGCGAGCTATAAGAAGTAATTCATTTCTCAAAGGCTATACTCAACACTGTCAAGGTGTCCCTAGAAACAGTAGAAACTTTTGACTCATATAAACAATCAGCTTTAATCCCTGAAATGAGAATAGGTTTCAAGCAAAACAAAAGTTACTTATTTTTTAGTTAATACGCATGTACCTCCGTAGTCATGAAATGTGGAATGTGAGGGATAAAGAGCATGAAACCGATGGCATGAATTGATTACTCTTTTATATTATTTGCAATAGCTTTGAAAGAAATATCTCTGGCAGGCCTAAGATTATTTATAAATGACAACTTCTTTAGTCTGTTCACTCTATTCCACTCTGAAAAAAAGTATTCACATTTTAAATGCACTCTTGCCCACAAGGAAGATATTTATTCTCTATATGTGTATATAAATATAGAGAGAGGTTATTTTGTTTGTGGAATTAAGCGATTGTAACTAAGAACGAATTAATTCTGTCCCGGTTTCAACCTATTCTATGATTATTGCAACAGAAGTAGAAGTTCTTGGTTTTATTTTTGTGTTTTAAAAAGAAAGGAATATGAACCTGTCATGCCTCTCAGATGTCCAGTTATGAGAACCTTTTTGTTTACATGCCATCCTATTGGTAATACATAATTATTAAAAATTACTACGTGCTGTTGCATTTTTAGTTCTGCCATTTTCACTTGAATGTACATTTTTAAGAGTAATTTCTTTTGTGAGTGGCATAATGTGTTTGTGTTTTTCCTCCTTTTGTTTTGTTTTTTTTTTAGGTTTAGGTCTAGCCTTCAACCTGCAACCCGCCTTAACAATCCTTGGCAAGTACTTCTATAAGAAACGGCCTATGGCGAGTGGCCTCGCGATGGCAGGAAGTCCCGTTTTCCTAAGTACACTGGCTCCTTTCAATCAGTACCTCTTTAATACTTATGGCTGGAAAGGAAGCTTCTTGATTTTGGGAGCCTTACTGTTGAACTCCTGTGTAGCTGGGTCCCTTATGAGACCTGTTGGACCCAAACTAACTACTAACAAGTCTAAAAATAAGGTTGGTGTAAGAGTGACCGATTCAGGCATGAAGAAAAGACATAGGGAGAAATCAATATGGGCAAAAATTGATAAGTATTTCGATTTCTCCCTTTTTAAGCATAGGGGGTTTCTGATATACTTATCTGGAAATGTCATTATGTTTCTGGGGTTCTTTGCCCCCATTATATTCTTGGCTCCATATGCTAAAGACAAAGGAATTGATGAATATTCTGCAGCTTTCTTGCTGTCTGTTATGGCTTTTGTTGATATGTTTGCCAGACCCACTGTAGGATTCATTGCAAACTCCAAATTAATCCGACCCCGAATCCAGTACTTTTTCAGTTTTGCGGTTTTGTTCAATGGAGTGTGTCATCTCTTATGCCCGCTGGCTGAGGACTACACAAGCCTGGTGGTGTATGCTGTATTTTTTGGCCTTGGATTTGGGAGTGTTAGCAGTATCCTCTTTGAAAGTCTCATGGACCTTGTTGGCGCTCAAAGATTTTCCAGTGCTGTGGGTCTCGTCACAGTTGTGGAGTGTTGCCCCGTCCTTCTTGGTCCTCCTCTTGCTGGTAAGAATATTTCCCATCAAGGAAAGCAAAAAAGCATAAAAATTAATATCCATTAGCCAAGACTTTCTTTGTAGTGTAAAATGTGGTTTGTAATAATAGATACTAATTGCCTAAAAGACTGTGGTGTGTTAATTTTAGCCTTTACTATGTGTTTTAAAATTTCCTAATTAGTCTATTTTAGACAAAAATTTCATTCAGAGCCTGGAGTTATGAACTTAAGAATTTAAATTAGACTGATAATTAGCATAATTTTCAGGTTTTTACCTATATCAACTTGTTTTGTGTTTTTAAAAAATGTATCATAAAAATAAAATTCCACTTTATTTTATCATTGATAAACAGATTTCTCCTTTTTTATTAAAATGAGTCAAAAATTTGAAGTAATGCTCTCAAAAGGACAAAAGGTCAAGATCTGTTTTCTTATTGGTTATATTAATATGGAATTTGTTACATGCTTAAGGAAGGAATACTTTTATAATATCACTAATTGGAATATATGAATAGGAATGCAAGAATGAAGGGAAGTTCATTCAAAGTCATTTTCTTGATCAGATACTTATATTCCATATTTATAACAATTACCTTTAGATTTTAAGATCTAAAATACTGTCAGCGATGCCTATAAAAAATCTCTATGCTAAATTATCTAGTAAGGATACTGAGTAAAGACATATGTATAAGTTCATTTTTGAAGTTAAGACTTTGTTTAGTCTTAGACTTCAATGTTATAAATATTAAATACTTTTTGTTGTCCAGTCTTTTTCAGTAATCACTGTATAGCATTGCTTTAGTTAATGCTAAATGTAGGTATTTACTTAGACCTCTTGGCCTGCCCCCTAATGGTCACAATAATTGCTGGGCTAAACATAAATTTTTTGTGTGTATTTAAAATCAGTGTTTAAAGTCTTCCTACATGACATCAAGGAATCATTTTGAAAGTGGGAAAATTCATGCCTAAATTGTTAATCCTAAGGCACCATTGACATTTACCCTTTGCTTTTTCATTTGGTCAGGAATGAGTGGTATAGTTGTTGACTTTTTCTGTCCGCCAGGACTGTCCTCTGGTATCTATCTAGTACAGATGCTTTGGACAGTATATCTCTCATTATAGATATGCCAGGGCACCAAAACAATTTTCAAAGTGAATGAAGCCAGTAGGTCTTATTCATTTTGGCCAATATATGCCTATCTTTTCATACAGAATTAGTTTTACCAAATGGGTTTTAGAAGCCTATTCATTACCAATAAAATTCTTAGTATCAACAGAGAAAAATTTATTTCCCCAGCCATGGTGGGGTGAAAAAATATCAAGTCAGGTCCATAGGCACAGTGGATGGGTGCTATGGAAATGAATGAATCTGATTTGGCCATTTCTACCTGGGCTGAGACCTATTTTAATAATATTTACATCAATTTCAGTATCCTTGAGGGCTTATTTTGTTAATATTGCCAAACTATTGCACCAGTGGGATCAGTGGCAGTAATTGATTTGGGGCTCATTGTTGAAGCTCTCAGGCTACAGCCATAACAGAGTAGCCATATTTTTATCCTGTTTCTGCCTTCTGTTATCCCTGATACTCCTTGACTTTTAGACTGTGTTTTCCTCTATAGCATTCACTCACTGCTAGCATGGCATCTGGCATATAGTAGGCACTCAATAAATACTTTCAAATGAATGGCTGTTGTTGCAGTTACTTCTTATACAGTTGCTGCTGCTGCTACTAGTCTTGTTAGTACAACAGTGAAAGGCAGGGAGAGCACGATTTTTATTTTTATTTTTTTCAACTCGAACTTCCACTGTTACATTCAAAAAGAGCTGAAACTTTAGTTCTGGAAATCATATCTGCTTTCTTGATGATGCAAAAAATTCCCAAAACATTTAGAAAGTATGTTGATTTGGCAATACAAAGTGATGATATAATTCTCATGGGGCAAAAGACCTGACATTTTTGTATTTAGATATGTAATAATCATTGTATGAATAGGAATATTTGACTAAAGTTAGAATGGAAAATTAAATTACACAATTTTTGTTTTATTTTTTATGTATATATCGTACTTACTCAAATTAACTCAAATAAGTCCATTCTAACATTTACCTACTTACTCAAATTAACTCAAATAAGTCCATTCTAACATTTACCTAATTAAAGCAGAGAACTTTGTTGAAGTAAATAATTTCACAAGTAGCTAAATTTAATAACAAGCCACTAACTAGATTCTTGTCAGAGTCATGGAAATTTCTTTTTTTTTAATTTTACTTTATTTATTTTTTTATACAACAGGTTCTTATTAGTCATCAATTTTATACACATTAGTGTATACATGTCAATCCCAATTGCCCAATTCATCACACCACCATCCCCACCCCCCTGCGGCTTTTCCTACTTGGTGTCCATACGTTTGTTCTCTACATCTGTGTCTCAACTTCTGCCCTGCAAACCGGTTCATCTGTACCATTTTTCTAGGATCCACATACATGCATTAATATATGATATTTGTTTTTCTCTATCTGACTTACTTCACTCTGTATGACAGTCTCTAGATCCATCCACATCTCAACAAATGACCCAATTTCGTTCCTTTTTATGGCTGAGTAATATTCCATTGTATATATGTACCACATCCTCTTTATCCATTCATCTGTCGATGGGCATTTAGGTTGCTTCCATGACCTGGCTATTGTAAATAGTGCTGCAGTGAACATTGGGGTGCATGTGTCTTTTTGAATTATGGTTTTCTCTGGCTATATGCCCAGTAGTGAGATTGCTGGATCATATGGTAATTCTATTTTTAGTGTTTTAAGGACTCTCCATACTGTTCTCCATAGTGGCTGTATCAATTTACATTCCCACCAAGAGTGGAAGAGGGTTCCGTCATATGGTAATTCTATTTTTAGTTTTTTAAGGACCCTCCATACTGTTCTCCATAGTGGCTGTATCAATTTACATTCCCACCAAGAGTGGAAGAGGGTTCCCTTTTCTCCACACCTGCTCCAGCATTTGTTGTTTGTAGATTTTCTGATGATGCCCATTCTAACTGGTACGAAGTGATACCTCATTGTAGTTTTGATTTGCATTTCTCTAATAATTAGTGATGTTGAGCAGCTTTTCATGTGCTTCTTGGCCAACTGTATGTCTTCTTTGGAGAAATGTCTATTTAGGTCTTCTGCCCATTTTTGGACTGCGTTGTTTGTTTTTTTAATATTGAGCTGAATGAGCTGTTTATGTATTTTGGAGATTAATCCTTCGTCCATTGATTCGTTTGCGAATATTTTCTCCCATTCTGAGAGATGTCTTTTCGTCTTGTTTATGGTTTCCTTTGCTGTGCAAAAGCTTTGAAGTTTCATTAGGTCCCATTTGTTTATTTTTGTTTTTATTTCCATTACTCTAGGAGGTGGATTAAAAAAGATCTTGCTGTGATTTATGTCAAAGGGTGTTCTTCCTATGTTTCCCTCTAAGAGTTTTATAGTGTCCAGTCTTACATTTAGGTCTCTAATCCATTTTGAGTTTATTTTTGTGTATGGTGTTAGGGAGTGTTCTAATTTCATTCTTTTAAATGTAGCTGTCCAGTTTTCCCAGCACCACTTATTGAAGAGACTGTCTTTTCTCCATTGTATATCCTTGCCTCCTTTGTCATAGATTAGTTGACCATAGGTGCATGGGCTTATCTCTGGGCTTTCTATCTTGTTCCATTGATCTCTGTTTCTGTTTTTGTGCCAGTACCATGTTGTCTTGATTACTGTGGCTTTGTAGTATAGTCTGAAGTCAGGGAGTCTGATTCCTCCAGCTCCGTTTTTTTCCCTCAAGACTGCTTTGGCTATTCAGGGTCTTTTGTGTCTCCATATAAATTTTAAGATTTTTTGTTCTACTTCCCTAAAAACTGCCATTGGTAATTTGATAGAGATTGCATTGAATCTGTAGATTGCTTTGGGTAGTACAGTCATTTTCACAATATTGATTTTTCCAATCCAAGATCATGGTAATATCTCTCCATCTGTTGGTATCATCTTTAATTTCTTTCATCAGTGTCTTATAGTGTTCTGCATACAGGTCTTTTGTCTCCCTAGGTAGGTTTATTCCTAGGTATTTTATTCTTTTTTGTTGCAGTGGTAAATGGGAGTGTTTCCTTAATTTCTCTTTCAGATTTTTCATCATTAGTGTATAGGAACGCAAGAGATTTCTGTGCATTAATTTTGTATCCTGCTACTTTACCAAATTCATTGATTAGCTCTAGTAGTTTTCTGGTAGCATCTTTAGGATTCTCTATGTATAGTATCATGTCATCTGCAAACAGTGACAGTTTTACTTCTTCTTTTCCAATTTGTATTCCTTTTATTTCTTTTTCTTCTCTGATTGCCGTGGCTAGGACTTCCAAAACTATGTTGAATAGTAGTGGTGAGAGGGGACATCCTTGTCTTGTTCCTGATCTTAGAGGAAATGCTTTCAGTTTTTCACCATAGAGAATGATGTCTGCTGTGGGTTTGTCATAATATGGCCTTTATAATGTTGAGGTAGGTTCCCTGGATGCCCACTTTCTGGAGAGTTTTTATCATAAATGGATGTTGAATTTTGTCAAAAGCTTTTTCTGCATCTCTTGAGATGATCATATGGTTTTTATTCTTCAATTTGTTAATATGGTGTATCACATTGATTGTTCTGCGTATATTGAAGAATCCTTGCATCCCTGGGATAAATCCCACTGGATCACGGTGTATGAACCTTTTAATGTGCTGTTGGATTCTGTTTGATAGTATTTTGTTGAGGATATTTGCATCTATATTCATCAGTGATAGTGGTCTGTAATTTTCTTTTTTTGTAGTATCCTTTGTCTGGTTTTGGTATCAGGGTGATGGTGGCCTCATAGAATGAGTTTGGGAGTGTTCCTTCCTCTGCAATTTTTTGGAAGAGTTTGAGGAGGATGGGTGTTAGCTCTTCTCTAAATGTTTGACAGAATTCACCTGGGAAGCCACAATGATGGAAATTCTGACTAAACAAATAAATCTATTTCAGAATCACCTGGAATATGCATATGATAAATATGGATTTGTGTATAGTAAATTTTGCCAGTATTAATTATTGTTAAGAATTAGATGCCTGCGTAAGCAAGAGGCAAAACTAAGTATAAACAGTATAAACTGAAGCATGTTTAAAAGTCAGTAAGCTTTGCAATTATATGGCACCAGGCTAGTTTTTCAATGTTCTCAATAATCAAATGGAACAAAAACTTTCTTCCTGATTAGTTTGGCCTTAATAATTTAGATTCAGACAAAGTGAAAAACTGTGATTAGCCTAAAAAGTGACATGACACTTAACCAAGAGGTTTGGTGAAGCCATTTTACAGAGTACTTAAGAATACAAGATGCAGACACACTGGTTAGAGCCCAGATCCTGCCACTCACTCACTGGCTGCGTAACGATATGGTCAAATTACTGCACAGTGATCTTGTAAGGATTAAATGCGAAATTACAAATAAAGCGTTTAGCCTAGTGCTAGGCATAGAGAAAGCATTTAGTAAATATTACCCCCACTAGGAACCTTATAAAAAGCCTCTGAATTTGTCCTAAAGAATGTAATTTTTCCTCTTTATTGAAAAGATAGTAAATGTGGAAAGGTTGAAGCAATCTCAATACGTATGCTATAAATCTATTCATATATATGCTTACATTTGTAAATACGTATATGTATTTCTACACATGTAGGTTTAAAAATGTATCTCACACATTTATGTACCTATGAATATATACACAAACACATATATACCTAGCTTATCTTGGTTGTACACTTTTATTGAGGGTAGTAATTTTCAATAAACTTAATATACTAGTAATATAATGCAGAATGTGCCTGTAAATGCCTTTACTATGCATATGTAGAAGTCATAATCTAGAATATTTTTTTCTTTATTAAACTCTCATTTAGTATTAACTTAAATAAGAAATAGGTATGCAGTGTGGAGAAGAATTCATTTGCAAATGTTAACATTTTATGGCTTGTTTATTATGCTGTCTTAAAAGACATTCTTTTGTCTCTTAGGTAAATTGGTGGATGAAACTGGACAATATAAATACATGTATGTGGCCTGTGGAGCTATTGTAGTCCTAGCCAGTGTGTGGCTGCTCATTGGCAATGCTATCAACTACAGACTGCTCGCAAAGGAAAAGAAGTTGAAAGAGACAACGAAGAAAATACATACACCTGAGTCCCAAGAATCTGAATCCTTGAAGGCATCTAAAAGTCATGATGTTAGTGTCAAAAGTCAAAAGTCAAAAGGATTAGGGGTTAATCCCTCAGAAAGAGAAACTAATATTTAACAAGAATTACATCTCTGATTTCAGTGTTTATGACTTTCTTAGGAGTATTTTTTTTTCAACATATTAGAAGGTTTTTAGTTGAAATGAGGAGTCATAAGTAAGTATGGAAAAGAGATTTTCCTTAATGGCAAAATTTTTAAAAGTTTGTTTTTTAAAATTTATTTGGGCAATTAAATTTTGAGATTATGCATATAAAGAATTCATGCAATGGGCTTATTTCCATACATGACTCTGGCTGCAGTGGTTAAAAAGATTTTAAAGTCTTCCAGTGACTTCCATCTTGGTTATAGAGATCTGAATCCCAAACCACTGGATTAAGTAGTTAGAAGGAGTATGTTTAATCCTGTAAGACTATCCTCTCCACACTTCATTTTTTATTTGATATTAAAGGGTGAAACGGAATTGAAGGAAATGAATTTTTCCCAAACATACACACACTGACACTCACACACTTAAGAACAAGCACACAGGGCATCTGGAGAAAAAAGACAAGTTCAAAAAGAATATTATCACTGTATTTTTTTAAATCCATGGAGAAAAAAGAAATGTGTTATATCTGCATACTACTTTACAGTGTGGATTTTAAAGATAAGAACATGGGTGAAAATGAGGGTGGCCTTAATTTGAAAATACAACTAACTGCTGCAAAAAACAAGCATATGCATATATGAAATAAATTTGAAAAAACTCCATTTTAAACTATTATTTCTGAGCACTGTCCGATTTGATTCATGCATGCACGTGATTTCTTTGAGGAGGACCACAAGTACCTGGTGCTACTGAATAGAACCATCAAATAATTTTCAGAATTTACTAATATTTAAATCAAATTAAAAGACTAAATGACTCCTAGCAATGAGCTGTCTATTGATTTTAAAAGGATTTTAGTTAGTAATCCAGAAAGTAATAACCAGGGACTTCTTTTAACCAAACTCAATTCAGGCTCGCTGTTATACTGAGACATCAAAGTGGAATCAACCAGAATCCTGGTAGACAGGCTTACATATAGGCAAAATTTTAATTTTTCCCAACATACAGTGGTGATCAGAGGGTTACTGTTATCAGTAATCCATCTGAGTAAAGCTAAGAGTGGGAGGTGCTTATAGTGAGCCCTCCAAGCTCTCTCATTTCCCTCTCCTCCATGACAAGCAAAAGCAAAAAACAGAAATCCAAACGGGCTTTCTACTCAGCCACTGAAAATATCTCATATTATAGGAGAGGTAGCACTTGAAAATTCCACCCTCTACCGATAAGCTTTCCTGCTGCCTGCGAGCATAACTAAACCAGGAGACTTAAAAACGGCTTCTAGAACTGGAGGTTGTGTATGATTTGATATATACTTGGAAAGTGTAGATTTAGTTTATAACTTGATAGAAAGAAGCCTGCAACATGCCAACCCAGGTTAATTTAGCAGTTTCTCATTTTCATAACTATATGAAAACATTTGGGACTGAATCACTCTTGAATACAGAGGCATATGATAGATCTGTGCATTCAGAACTATAAATACCATTTTGAGTAAGTACTTTTAAACAAGAAAGAATTTATACATTAGGTATCAAGTTATAAATATTCACCTTTATAAATCTGAAGTTTAAATTAAGGTCATGATTAATAAAAAGAATTTAGTTCTTGATTATTGAAGTAATGTCATTCTTAAGATGTCAAAAGGAATTTGCCGTTCTTCTTACTATTATTATTGCAATAGAGGCAGGTGCTATTCTTATTTCCTTTAGGATTGCACTTGGATTCCAAGCTTTTGTGATAGTTAACACTAGGGATTTGATTTGTAAACTTTAGGCACTGTTTAAGCATGTGGCTCATGTTTAGCAAGCTATATAAAATTCCATATTTCAATTAACATTCACTTTTTTACACAGAGAAAGATATTTGTATTTTTAAAATATTAACTAAAACAATATGTGCCAATACCATAGGTAAATAAATCAGGGAAAATGTGACAATATATATTTGTTCTTAATTTAGTTTCACCCAATCTTGAGTCTTGAATGAGCTATTTTCATATTATTAGTGTTTGTATTCAACTGTGACTTGTCATAAAAAGTGTGACATCATAAATTGTTCAGTAGCTTTCCAATCTTAAATGTTTCCAAAAAAGTGCCTTGAATTCTCTGAAGATACATATTTAAATTAATATAGATAATAGACCTCTGGGACAAGTAATGATCATGGGGTTTTAGGGCTAAGGCATAGTCCTTTTTATCACCTGCTGGTGGGTGCATTTCAGTGGCTTTCTATGGAAGGAGGTTTATTTACTTGCTGATGAGGTTCTTGTCAAGTCAAAACCAATTTGTATTTGTTCTATTGCTCTTTGATCATCTTCTTTAACTTTTCATTCCTAACACTGATTATCTTAAATTGTTAAAAAAAAAAGAAAGGGAAGTGAAATTGCACATTCAAAGCACATGACATGATGTATACAGTCATGCCTGACAGTAGCACTGCACAAAGTTACAAATATGTATGCATCTTAATTCCTATACATAAATGTTGAAAGTTAAATCACAACACACTTGAAACAGTGATATAAACTCACACACAGTTTTCAGAATTGTTTCAGGGTAAAATAAATGTTTCAAGTTGTTTACTCTCCCAAATCCCTTGAACTTGTTAGAATATTTGTTGCTTGAACAGAATCATTCAGAGACTGAGAAGAAAATATCAACCTAGGACATTTATTATTATAAAGTTGCCTAAATGAAGGAGAAAATATAGTTGGCTTTCTGCAACAATTAATGATTAGTCAGAAAGTACTTCTTCCCCAAGGAAATGACAGGTTTTAGATGATCAAGACACCGTGAAGCAAAGTCAGAAACCATTAAAATACCTTTCAGTCCATTTTTCTGTTATGGAATTGTGCAGAAGGAAGGTTATCATAAACCTGGGTACCAAAATAATTCATGATCACTGGCTAGTTTAAGTATTTTTCCATTTGTGATAACAAGACTCCTCGTATTTTTCACCATTTAATCTTAAATGTTCCTTCACTAATTTATGAATGCAATATGGGATATAGACATGTCCTGACACATGCCCATCCTCTTTCTTGATCCTTTTTGGAGCCAACCAGCACACACTTAAGAGGCAGTTGGGTCAGGTTCTGGTGTCCTTCACATTGGAAGACAGGATGTTTTCTAAGTGTAAATTGACATGGCTCATAAATTTCACTTCTTTAGTACCAAGTTCTAACCACCTTATCTCATGGGTCTCCCCTGGACACTAGGAAATAAAGTAAAATAATTTGATTTGATATATTTGAATGTACACTTTAAAAATCTAGGTATTTTTTACTAATCTGTCTCTGGCTGTACATGGCAGAAAAAAAGACCATAAGACGTATGCTGAAAATGTTTTTATATTGATGTTATAAAATGTAGAGATATACTTAATCAGTTAGTTGAAAAATACCTTTAAAAAAATACCATGCAAAAATACCTTTAAAAAAACCCTCTTATATGTACAATGTTGCAGGCTTTTAATAAAAATACCTTTAAAAAAAACCCTCTTATATGTACAATGTTGCAGGCTTTTAATAAAACAAAATAATCATGATTGTTAGGCTCGAATTAATAGGGAAAAAGGATGTGAAGTGGGAAGGGAATGGATATTTATGTTTCCTGCATTTTGCCTATTTGATATTCAAATAGAATCATAGGTAGAGGCTATTGGCCTGATATAATAGATGAGTGAAACAAAACAAAAAGCAGATATACAAAGAAGTTCACAAATTACCCAAAGTTTAAAGGTAGTATGTGACAGAACCAGAAGAAAAACTCACGTTTACTTAAAAGCAGAAAGAGCCCCTAGGGTGTTCACTGCCATGCCACCTCCCCCTAGAAGCTGTAGATAGAATGGTAGATAAAATATAGATACAAAAAAATTAAACACTATGTGGTAAACCAATTAGATTCAACTGCAATCTGTATTATGATTTATGTAGTGCTTATTAGAGACTGCGTTTGCTATAACCTGAATATATAATTTCAACTTGCCTGCTTTTCTAACCAATGCAAATTATCCCAGATAATGGTAATGATTATATAATAGCTGTAATTGCTTCAATGTGACTTTTTTCATAAAAATAATGAAATATTTATATGACTCAGGCATAATATATTTTCCCTGAGGTTGGGTTTAGAGGAAAAATGCTATTTTCTTTATGGATAAGTAATTCCCATATTAGTTGCTACTTATTATGACTCAAAAATAAAAAGTACTTTCTATGAAACATTATGTTAAGAATTATAGTGATTCTCACTTATAGGATTATCCCAAGCTACCAAAAATTTGTAAATATCTTATGAGATACAAAAGATTTGGTTCATCTACACAGTATGTATTTATTTGCATCACTTAATGCAACTGCCACTACACTGTAACTAATTTTTCAAGTTTCCTGAACATCTGGATTGTTATTCTCCTTTCCGTCCCTTTGTTCTACAGAGAGAACAAATGCCATTGCTTTTGTCTTCTTCTTCTAGACTTTTGGCATCCTTAGAATATTGTTCTCTTTAGCTCTATTTCAGATGGTGAACTTCTAATGTCATACATCTTTCACAAAGTCACTCACGCTGCATCTGGTCCTATATATTGGGTTTGCAGCAATGACCATGTTCCTGGAGTCAGCAGTGTATACTTTTGACTAAGACCACTCATCTTCACCAGTAAGGGAACTCATGTGACTGTAGGTTTGAGGTTTCCTGGATAAGGAGGGTGCTTATATTCTAGAAGAGTTTTTGTTATTATGAATCTTCCTTATGCATGATAAATAGATAATTGAATATGACTTCTAAGAATCTAGAAAAATCGATCTTCCTGTCCTTGACATTTACTATGCTGGATGTTTGTAACTCTTAAAGTGCCTGAAATTTTGAGAAACAAATCTTACCGTCACAGCATAGCATCATTATATGTCATCCTGTAGGCTCTTTCAATGCAATTACATCACAGATACATCATAACAACTAGATTCTTGCCATGACAATTCACAATACCAAAGAGCATCAAAATCATTGAGATAAAAATTGAAATTACAATCTTTACTCATCCTACTTATTTTTTAGGTTTTGATTTCTACGTATTTATGTGCACTATCTCACATTTGAGAAATGCACTTAAAACCTGAAAAGCCCAATTATTAGTAATTAATTATAATGCTTGTATAATCAAAATCACAAACTATCTTTATTGATAGTTTTTTAAAAATGAATAATTTGCTGAGTTCACATTCTTTTTTGTAGTTCTGATTTTCTCTTCTTCGTTATCAAATTGTACACTTTAGGTTTTAATGCTTCACGAGGTCCTATGATCTGGTCTATCTTAGTCTTCTGCTTTGCCTTCGCTTTATTTCACTTATGTTCAGTTCATAAAAGAATTATTATAGCAATGAGAATCATAACTTTAGGTCTCTACTTTAAGAGGAAAAGGAATATTGCAAAAAAGAATTTTTTACTTTAGTGGGACATATGAAAACTTTTAGACCAAATTATTTATCCCATACCAACCCCATGCTATGTACCTTCCTCCCCTCCTTTTTTTCCTATGCTTATTTTTTAAAATAATTTTTAAAAATTATTTTTCTTTCATCATTTTTCATTATGTCTAGGCCAACTTCTTTAGCATTTTTTATCTAACTATGGACATTTTTAGTGCAGCATATTTTTCTT